GAAATACCAGATAAAGCAATGACCAGTATCTTAGATGCGTATCGTCAGTGCTGGATGGAGTTTGGACCTGCCAAGGTATTCATCTCCGATGGCGGTGGTGCCCTCAATGACGACACTGCAAAGGTGGTCCTCAAAGCAAAAGGCAGTGAGCAGAGGATACGCGCGCGAGGACAACGCGGTACGACACTCGAAGCCAGCAATGGCATATTACGCCATCTACGTCACGTCATGGAAACTGAACTCAAAAGGTTAGACATACCTCCTTGCATTCACGCGACTACTGCACGAAGCCCTGTTTGCCGCCAGTGCGTTCACCTTCTACAGTGAGGTGTCTCCATATAGCGCTCTGTTTGGACGGCAACCGGCAATGCTTCCTGACCTGCCTGTTCTGGACCACGAACAGCCGACAGAGGCTTCTGATCATTCTCGAGAACAGGTGATACGCGGGGTATGCGTTGAAGCTATCACACAAGCTACTGCAGTAGCTAAGACCAACCGTGCATTGCGTATTAAGAGAACCACTACCGGTCAGCATTACTACGGTGAAGGAGATTTGATCGACTATCATCGTCGCACATTTACGAAGGGCGACTGGGGATGCTGGAATGGTTCTTTTCCGGTTGTACAGAATGATCCCGACAGGGGTCAAGTCATTATTCGAGTGGGAAGCCGCGATGTGGAAGTCCAATGCGGCGACGCACGACATTCATTATGCATCGAAGATTTGATAGCCCGAGAGATTGGCTTTGACAACACTGCGTTGCGGACAGTGTTGGAATTTGTTGCCACTCTACCTGCAGGGGGACCTGCAATGACGTTTGGCTATGTCCCGACCAAAAAGGGATCGCTTCAGATGACCAGTGCGAGCCGACTATCTCCCAAAGTTCACTTACTCTACAATGCATTATCAGGAATTTCATCCGTATCGAGAATGTAGTTCCGGTTAGCTCCGGTGGCTTACGTTGACAGCTGCCCATTGGTACATTATGACAACGACGTGAACCCAGGCTTCCACCTATGAAGCAGAAGGCACTGCCCTGAATATACATGATATGACTGGATCAGCACATTTGATGATCATCCAGTGCCTAAAAACCACTAAACCTCAAGCGGGCTTTGACCATGCTGTGATAAAGTTTGAGGAACTGGTGGACATGCCGGCACGAGACGACAATGCCAGAGAGGCCCCAGAAGCCGAACCACCATAGGAGGATGGACGGCTCCCTACGATCTATGAGGAATCAGGAGCGGACCTTGAGACACATATTCTTGAAGTGTGGTGTGCATGCAGAAATGGAGCTGTTGGAGGCAACTCCATTGGATTTCCTTCACACTGTGCCCGCGCATATGATCGCCGACAACAGTGTGCTGGTCACGGTAGTTGAAGAACTGCAGGGGCACCTGCCTACGTGGGGCCATCCACGCGACTCCGACGGCGAGGAGACGTGCCATGTCCCGCTGTGTTCCACGGACGCAGACCATAGTTGCGGATTGGACTCGGACGAAAATGGTCAATCTATAGAACTCTGCTTTATTGCAGAAGTGTCGAAGGTGGTCCTCTCCGAGCAGCAGCATAGGATATTAGACTTCGACCGTGTGACCGCCGAGTATATGTCACCGCCGCCGCAAAACGAGCTGCAGTCGCCAAGGAAGACGACCCCCTCGCGAATTCCGACATTCAGGCGATCCCCGTTAAGGTGTCAAAGGCCCTATATACTGAAGCCAATACATAGTTTGACAACATGTGTTTCAATCTGCAATATATATATATATATATATATATAAAGCGTCAACCATATGACTTCGATGGGGCGTGCATAAGTGGCAGTTCGTAAAGAACGAGAAGGCTAGATGGATCGCACCATCAGACTATGCCTGGTACTTCTGGTTTCGTGGACCTCGAGGCTTTCGATGTGGAAACATTCTCAGGCACAGCGCGGCGGTCAAGCCACATATTATTCGCAAGCGCGGCAGCGTGCAAGACGCAATGGGTCATTGCTTCCCTCGGCATCAACATGGCTTTCCTGAAGGGGTTAACCTACCAGGAACTTGTTGAGACAAGCGCTGCTTGCAGCGCCTCATGCCAGGCACCTGCGCCAAGGATGCGCCCAGAGCCTGCCCACTGAAGCTCAGAAGGACCACGAGAGGCTTTGGTCTCATACCCACGTCTTACGACGAGGAGTTTGAGACAAGCGGCAACCTGCTCACAGCCAAACATGTTGATCATTTCATTGTGGCCGGCGCTGAGGACGCCGTTGACAAGTGCGTCTAGCGCGTCGAGGACACTTTTGGTAAGTGTAGACTTAACGTATTTGTGCCAATTGCGCTGTGAGGTGCGCAATGGATGGGGGCGGTGATGTTACACTGGACCAAGATGAATACATCAAACAGCTCCGTTCTATACAACATCCTGAACTCACAGGCGCAGGCGCCGATTCCATGGCATCCAAGATGGTCGCTGACATGTTCGCCAGCCTCAGAGGCGCGTTGGCTTGCGCAT